AAGTATATATTAAGTATATTCTTTTCGAAATATTTGTACAATGTTACAAGCAATTTTCATGCTGTTATAATCAATAAGATATCCATTGTCAAAATATATCTTAAGATATATACATTCATAATATGAAAAACACGATATCACTAAACACGTTATTTAAGTGGGATTTATTACAAATACACGCACGAGGAAGATTCTGATGCTAAGCAACAAAAAATGGTGAAGACTGATATCGAGGCAATTGGTCCTGCGGCAGCAGTTGCTGCTGTAGTAGATCTTGCTGCTGCCCTGGATGTTATGATTGCCGATGCTCATATGGTTGCTCGTGTGGTGCCTCATGCCTGTGGTGGTCAATCACCTCGCCAACCCCAAACAATGTCTAGAAGAACCAGAACATTAACATAATAAAAAATTTAAGGAAACAAATGAGCAAGAAAGGGAAAGATGTCATCTATATATAGATTCAGTTAACAACACAAAAGAAAACAATCCCACAAAATCTCTGTTAATAATAAAAAGAGCTGAGATTTTGTATTTGTGCCCCATTCTTTTTGAAGAATGTATTTTAAAGTAGTAGATTGATGGAGAATGTGTAGTTAAAAAGAAAGAAAAGTTTTTGGTTTGTGTATAATATTATTTTTAATGAAGAATATGTTGTTAAAAAGATGAGAGAGAAGAATGTATTTTAGAAAAAATGGTAATCAACACCTACATTTTTGGTTCTCTGAACAGACAGATAGAGCCAAAGAATTTGTTAAGAAACTGTGTGATGGGAAAATAAACTAAAAACAAGACTCAGAGCTTAAGAATGATCTTTCTTGATCCCACGAAAAATAAAAAAGGGAGAGAAAGAGGAGAGAGAAAGGTCGAAATATGAACTCCTGGTCCTCAGATTGATCCCACCAAGAGAGAGAAAGAGGCGAGTGAAAGGTTGCCTTGCCATTGATAGATGTATATTTGTATGGCTCACACGTATAATCAAACATCTGGAGCTCAAGATTTTTTCTTTTCTCGTACCCAATTTATTTATTTATTTATTTTTTATTATTATTATTATTATTATTATTATTATTTTATCTTAAATGTATAAATTGAGTCGTCTCATTCTCCACTTCACTACTCATCATCTTTATTTTTGTGTATATCGAAACATTAAGGTCGACTTTTTTCTCTATTTGACGAACCATTGTGCAGTCAAACTCTCTACTACTTTTGCAGTGGAAACGCCTAGCAAAATAAAATTGCTGGGGCATGGGTCTTTGTATTTCATGTTTAAAGCCAAGGTCGACACTTTATTATTATTATTATTATTATTATTATTATTTTATCTTAAATGTATAAATTGAGTCGTCTCATTCTCCACTTCACTACTCATCATCTTTATTTTTGTGTATATCGAAACATTAAGGTCGACTTTTTTCTCTATTTGACGAACCATTGTGCAGTCAAACTCTCTACTACTTTTGCAGTGGAAACGCCTAGCAAAATAAAATTGCTGGGGCATGGGTCTTTGTATTTCATGTTTAAAGCCAAGGTCGACACGATTTTATGGTTGAGATGCATGAAAGTCTATGTTTGACATCCTTAATTTTAATTTAATCTATTTCTCATATTCATTTTTAATTACACATTTAAACAATAAAATAAAATATTATATATGTAAACACAAAACTTTTCCATACTTTTTCACAATATATTCTTCAAAAAATACTATTCAAAACAATGTTTTTAAAACTTTAAGAATGTCAAATAGGGGATTAGATTTACGTTTAAAGGTTGGGACCTGTGATGTGTGAATATGTGTAAAGGTTAGGGCCCGTTATGACAATTTAAGTAAAGGTTGGAGACTATTTTTATATCATATAAACAGTTTTGATGGATGTACAAGGTCTTTTCTACAGATTTTTTACAGATCCCTCACATGATATGGGTTCCATACCTTATTAAAAAATAACCCCAAAAATCCCCACCCCTCCCCATGTATGTGTCTGTTCGATACCCCTACTTGGTTCCCAGCATAACGCTTATATAAGTAAGAGGTTGGGGGACCTATAATGCCACAAATTTTATCGTACGAAAGGATTATTTAGCCCAACTCAAAATTCCACCTAATCAAGTTGGAACTGCAAAATTATTTAAAATACATGTCACCTATGATATGGTAGACGAAAATTTAATTTCATGTTTCGTAGCTAAAACATGAGTAGGTGGCATATTTGCTGAAAACTAAGATACACTATATTGTTGTTAACTTTTTAAATTCACGTAAAATTGGAAAGGGAGCTAACTAACATTTGAAATTACTCCCTCGCTATCCTTCATTCTAATGTTGTTCTCATTAATTATCATTTTCAGTTCCCACAACAAATTTCGACCAACGATTCGTCAGTAATTTCCCAAATCCAAAACTGAATTCCACAGTAGGAGTGAAAGAATTTGGGGGGGGGGGAAAAAAAACCTAGTCAACTTGGGGCATATTCTTTTTAGAAGTCAACTTTCTTACACGAGTTTGGATTGGAGATCCAAAATCGAAGTCTTATTTTTAATTTTCAGGTCACCAAGAAAATTTAGAGATGTTCAGGTTGACATGTGACCCATGAGATTGCATGTGATTTGGACGCTATCTTGTCTAGGGTAAACTTCTGTCAACTGTATAATTTGAGTTCATGGAGGGGGCAGGGGGATGATTAATTTGAAACTTGATTTATTTGGTTTTTGGATTTTGAGTTTTTCACTCTTTTCCATATCAATGGTATAAACTTTTTGATAAATCAGTTAAATACTAAATCGAGGTAGCATAAATCGGTAGGGTAAAAGGTAGGCAAGGTTAAAACTTCGTTTATGATACACCAACTCTGGTCGAGAGCATCCACCACCGAAAATAGCATTTCAACCAAACTTGCTTTCAGAATATATATATAATTTAATTTTCAACACATCCCTTACATAAATCAGATTAATTTCCACTTTAAACGTTTTTCTTATTTAAGATTTGTATAAATGAGTGGCATTATAAATTAAAAAGGAAATTAGGTCTATATTGGAAACCTAACTGTATATATATAAGCCAAACTCATGCCCAGTGTTGGGAGTTAAGAAGTCATGTTTTGGATGTTAGCCTTACTTTTTCAAAGACTACAAAATCTTTAATTAATCTTCTACTCCATCTTACTTAACTAAATCCTCTTGAATTTCTTCCCATATTTCCATGACTTCTTCTTCAAGTTCTTTCAAGAAAGCACCAAGCCTAATTAAGAACCCTAGAAACTAAGAAAAATGCCTGACAGCACCTCAGAAGATCATCCATTGAAGTCTATCAGAATTAGGCCAGAAGGGAAATTCTCTCGTCCACGATTATCCCATGAGGTATCAATTTTTATTGATGATTCTTTTGAAGTGTATTATAGGGATTCTTCTGTTGGAGTTCCATTCCTGTGGGAATCACAGCCTGGTACACCTAAAGTCAAGTTCAGGGAAAGCACTCTTCCTCCACTGACACCCCCACCTTCATTCCATTCCAGTCCTGCGAGAAATCTCACAAAAATTCATCACAAATCGAATCTGATAGAGTCTATTCTGCCTAAGATAAGTGTTAAGAAAAGACTAGTCCAACAGTCATCACCTTCCTCGTCATCATCTTCATCGTTGTCATCACCATGGTCGTCACATTCTGTGCCTTCGTCTCCATTCAGTACTCCAAGTTCAAGCAAACAGCAGAACAGAATTTCAAGTCCGAGGATGTCTTTACATTCCAGGATAGATGAAGATGATTATGGATCGTCTACAGGTACTTTGTGCTTTAATGCTGGCCGTAGATCCAATGCTAGGTCACGAGGCTGCTCTTCGAAGATAATCAAGCTATTGCTAGGAGAATTTGCATGAATGTAGTGTTATTAATTATTCAGCTATATACTTAGCATATTATTTAGAAAATAATCGAAATTAGTATGCAGACGTTAATAATCTGTGGATGAAGCAACTGCTTATATCATTTTCAGCTATTTTTATTAAGTTAATGGCAATCTTTTGTTAGTATATATTTCTTTTGTTTGTTTGTTTCACAAATTTTGTCACACGTCTTCCTTACGAAAATCAGCAAAATATTGTCAAATTCTATCAACGTAAAAATATATTAATTTACAGTTAATAAAATCAATTATTGCACCTAATTAGATCTACGAATCACTAGCATATATAATTTATGGAACAGCAAATAAAACTTTAATCAGCAGCAATACTCAATTGGTTTTCTGGAATTGACTATATATTTTAATTCAGACTGGAAGCTTCTTCGTGTCAATTAGTAATATAATTTAATGACCTTACCATCGATACGGTATAGTTAGCATGGTAAGATATTAGTATTTAGTAGTAAAGATTGCATCACTCTTATCATTTATTAATTGCACAAAATCTTAGATTTTACTGCAGAAGTGAGGGAGAAATGGTTAAAAGTTTAATCTGTTCAAAACTTATTTTAGTTTACCAGAAAGATTGCAACAGAGTGGGATATATACAAGATTATGATAATAGTAGATAGTAATAATCCATAAGATTATGGTATATCTATAGGATTATGATAACGGAATTAATATTCCCTACAATATAAGGTATTTTTATTTCCTCTTTAATTTATGTTCTTTCTAAATTTAGTGAATTAACTCTGACTATTTCAATTTTAATTCACACATGATCTTTCTTGAGATTTGCTATATGATATTTATTTATATATTTATTTTGTTTTCTTTTCATTTCAAATGAATGTTGATTCTTGATTCTTAACTTCAACATCTCCAAGTTTTTAAAAGTTCGAATAGACGTCTCGAAGCTAATTTTTTTAAAAGTGTATCTCCTAGACATAAATATTGAGGTTTACAAAATAAATTTCATTAAATAAGGAATAAAATATGTTAAGTTGTATTTTTCTTTCCATTTGCCTTTTAAGCCTTTTTTTTTTTTTGGTTATCGTCATATGTGAATAACTAAGAATTATTCGTACCACCAACAATATATTTCCTTCTAGTCATTAAAATTATATTGAAAACTACAGTTATTAATTTGATACTCACTATTAAGAGCATCTTCAAAGACTTTCGATTTATAAAAAATGATTTGAATAATTTAAGAAGCACAATATTAAAATATGTAACTTATTAATGTACTTATAATAAAGTAAGAATAGAGAGATGTGGGTGGAAGAAGATGAAATTTTTATTTTTTAATTCTTCTATTTTTGTTCTGTTTTTAAATTTATTTTCTATTGAGTGGCGAAAGTCAGTTGACGAAATTGTCCATTCAAATAAAAAAAAAAAAATGACATTAATGCACGCATAACACTAATGGACCTTTTTGATGGATTGTGTACAAAAAGATCATATGCTCCAAAATAAAAAAAGGCACTAGATTATTTGTGCCAATTTTCCATTTCGATCATATTCATTATCTTATAGAAATCCATTATTACCTTTTTTTTTGGAATTATGATATGATTTCTGAAACTTTTTCAAAATTAGATATTTCTGAAAACTCAAACTTAATTAATGATTAATTTTTAAAAAAAATCCATCTTCAATTTTCTTTTAAAAGGGCCGTACGTGCAGGACCGGCCTTTTGAAAATAGGCCCGGGGGAATATGTCATGATCAATTCTTTGCTAAAACAAAATATATTTTGATCCCTAAATATACATTACTATTTATCAAGATAAACTTGTCCGTTTCATTTATACTACAAATTGTCCCCAATTGTACATAATTTGTTAAAAGTAAATTAATTATACAATCTAGACATGTTAATAAAAATTTATGTTTGAATCATCCATGTAAAAACTATTTTTTTTTTTTTTTGTTTATGGTAATTTATATATTTGATTTTCTATAAACTTGCTCAAAGTTGGTTGATTTGGACTTATTTTGATAGGTTTCAAAGCTTGTAAGGGAAAGAATTTTTGAAAATTATTATTTTTTCAAGTTTTCAAAATTATTTTCAATTATACATTCTATGAGACAAATAATTGTTCATTTGAAAAAAAATATCTCCCGTACAAGCCTTGATTGATTTATATATAAAATGGTCCAATTTATAAACCAAATCTACATTTTCTTATTTAAACACAAATGATTCTGATTTGATTTGATATTTCGATTTATTTATTTAATATGTACAAGGTAAATACTAAAAAATATGACACGATTCATTCATTTTTTAATTTATTATAACTACAATTTATTGGCATGCTATTTGTGTTAAAATTGACTTAGTATTATCTAATTCAAATATGATTGTGTTTGTCTATCCAAATGGAATATTTTTTTTTTAGCTTCTTATTTGTAGTGAAACTATTATGAATCTCACATCAAGAATTGGAATAAAAAATAGTTCTCATTTTGGGTTCCTATAAATAGAGACTTCGATCCCTCTATTATTTTACTTTTCACAAATTTAGGGCTTGTTTGATTTCTATTAATTTATTTTATAATTTGCCATAGGATTATTTCCAACCATCCATTCACACCCAAAAATAAATAAATAAATAATTCTACACATTCTTTCAAAAAATTTCCTTACATTTTAACCGTATATTCTCCTAAAGATACTATTTAAAACCCATTTTCTCTCCAATTAAAGAGAATCAAATCAACACCTAAGATTATTGTGGACTACCTCTCACCTGATCCAGCTTTAGGGTATGCTTGCAGGTTTGGGAGTTTGAGAGATTTTAGATATATATATATATATATATAATGGGAGTCTATTTTTGATTGTCCATGATTTTTCTTTGATTTGAAAGCTTTCCACGTAAATCTGTGTCATTTTTCTCCATCTTTAAATTTTTCTCGATTTCAAATAAATTCTTCTAACAAGGATCACTTGAACAAATAAAGAAATTGATCTCGATCCGAACACATTTGCATATTGCATCTAGAATATTAAAGTCAACATAAGTTAAAAACCCTTAAAAGTGAAGCTAAGTTATTCGTGTAATTTTTAGAAATTCACAATTTTGTTCTTTAAAAGGCTAAAAAAAAATAGTAAAAATCAAGAACATATTATTCAACATAAATATTATGTGATTTTTCAGTAAATTTTGAAATTATAAGTGATTATTTTTGAAATTGTAATTATAATTTTTATAGTACAAAGGTGCGAGCTATGAGCCTTAAAATACGGGTCAAACAAAAATTGATTAATCCATGCCCAGCATTTAAAGCATGTTCCACACACGAATCTGAGAGGATTAATTATTTTTTATTATTCCAATGCTTATGCATTTCATATGCTTTAATTAACAAGTTTAATTTCTCTCCTTTTCTACACCTACC